GGCCCGGGAAGGCAGGGGAGACCCAGGAGCTGGGGAGTCACACGGGGTCTGGGGACTGTCAGGAGAACCTTCCCCCAGGCCTCGGGCTGGGACACGGCTTCCAGATGGCGGTGAGAAGCTGCCCCACAGCCTCCATGGATGAAGCTCTGTGCTCCCGATCCTGATCTTAAATAACAGCTGTTAAATACTCATGATGGTTTCCTGTTATCCTCTCAACACTTGTTCTTTCATGGTACAGAAAAGGAAAAGTGAACTCAGAGAGGTTAACTAACTTGGCCTGAGGTCACACAGCAAGGAAGTGGTAGAAACAAGATTCCTCATAGGACCTTAGAGGATTCTTTCTTGCCCCAGGGTCCTGGGAAGCCTGAGGCCTTCCACCAAGGGGGGGTCAGTGGTTTTCCAGTTATTTCTCCTGCCCAAGCTATCTGCCCCCTGGGCTTGGTCTCTTCAAGACTGGGCTGGATTTTGTACTTTCCTTCTATGGACGCCCTCAATCCTGCCCGTTGGATTAAAGTCATGCATGTGCTTGTGTTTACAGTAAGGGGACCCTTGAAGACATCTGGGTGATGTCCTCCCTGCCGGCCCCTGTCCCTGCTCATCTAGGGCAGCTTAGGAAGAGAGCATCACGGAGCCCTAGGAACCTGCCTCTGTAGCCGTTTTAGTGCCCACGGTACCGCGACCCAAGCAGCACGGCCAGCGGGGGCATGCGAAGATCGTGATTCTGCAAAAAGACTCCAGTTTCTCCGCAGCATCCTTTCCTTAGCCGATCCTCCTCCCAACGGTGATGATGATGATCAATGTTATTCTTGTTATTCAGTAAGTCGTCGATACGTGGTGTTTGGCACTTTTTGAGCGGGAAGCACGACTTTTTGGCCATCGGACTGATTCAAGGATGATACCTAGAACAGTGAGCAGAACGTGTCAAAGCCTATCACAAGGGGCCACGGTGGCACTCCTAGGAAAACTGATAGCCCTCAAGTGGATCTGTTAGTGAAGAGAAAGATGGAGAATTAATGCATGAAGCAGTCCATCTCAAGACACCAGGAATCATGAAATAAAAGTTAAAGGAAAAAGTCAGTCAACACAAAGGAAGAAAATAACGAAGAAAGCAAAACAAGAGATGATCCTTGACAYGATGAATACCACAGAACGTCCGGACCCGTAGGAGCTGCGATTCTTTGGCGGGGAGCCTTCCCGTCGTCCCCTGGCACAGGACTAGTCACCATTGCTGTGGGACAACCGACCCCCAAACTTCGGCACCTAAATAACAACAACATTGCTCACTTTTCCCGTGGGTCCGAAAGCTGGATGGCCTTTAGTTGGGTGCCTCTGGTTCAGGGCCACAGCAGAGTGTCGGCCATAAGGTCACCTCAAGGCTCGGTGGTGTAGGATCAGTGCCAAGCTCACCTACACAGCCGCGGGCAAGCCCCGGTCTCCACGGAGGTGGGCTGCAAGCATCAGGCGCAGGGGCCTCTTCACGGCTTCCCTGCCCAGAGCAGGGCAGAGAGAGGGGCCACCTGCCTCAGTCCATTTTCTGTTGCTGTGTCAGGGTACCCCAGGCTGGGACAACGACGAGCAGACGGACAAGTGGGCACCGTGTGGGGACAGATGGCTGAACCTGTCTTTTTCAGCATTTATTTATTTTTTTGTACCAAGGTACAGAAAACTGAGCCATATCCTCCGCCCTTTTTTATTTTGATTTTGAGACAGGGTCTCACTAAGTTTCTTAGGGCCTCACTAAGTTGCTGAAGCAGGCCTCGAATTTGCCATCCTCCTGCCTCAGCCTCCCTAGCTGCTGGGATGACAGGCATGCACCACAGCACCGGCTCTCATCCTTATTTTTCGGTGCTGCTGAGAGTTGAACCCAGGGTCTTGGGCATGCTGGCCAAGTCACATCACCAGTCCCCAAGATTCATCCTGGAATCAGCCACCACCTACTCCTGCCATAACAGCAATACCCCATCTCTGAGGTCTCACCTCTTTTTTGGGGGGGTGGGAGGGTACTGAGGATTGATCCCAGGGGCTCTTAACCACAGAGCCACAACCCTGCCCTTTTTCTGTTTTCGATTTTAAATTGCCGAGGCTGGCCTTGAACTCCCGATCCTCCTGACTCAGCCTCCCGAGTCACTGGGATCACAGGTGTGCGCGCTGTGCCCTGCACGTCTCTCTCTTTCTTCCTTGGGTGTCTTTCTCATGCCTGTGGTCACACAGGGCYGACCTCTCAGTCCCCTCCTGTGGCAATTCAATTTCAACATGAGTTTTGACGGGAACATCCAAGCCCCACGCTGACCTCAGAAGTGACATCTGTCACTTGTGCCGTCTGCTAGGATTCTTTCAGCAAGAATCAAGTCATGGCCCCACCTGCACTCCCCGGGAGTGGGTCACCAGAGGTGTGTCTAGGGAGACAGGGCCACCACAGGGAGGGGTGGAGGTCACCGTCCTGGAGTTCCAGGCTCCCCTTGCTCAGCGGGGGTGGTCCCGGGAGGAAGGAGCTGGGGGCCGCCACTGTCTGCCCCTGTGGGTCTGGGGCCTTGAGTTCCCACTGGGAAGTGGGAAGACAGTCAAGATCCCCTGAGAATCTCGTGGGAGTCTCCTGGGACAAGGGCTGGACAAGGTGCTTGGCTGGGTGGACACCGGCCTTCCAAAGCTGCCACTTAAGCCGGGCCCAGGGGCACGTGCCCAAGATCCCAGCCTCTGGGAGGCTGAGGCAGGAGGATCCAGAGCTCAAAGCCAGCCTCAGCCACTCAGCCAGGCCCTGAGCAACTCAGCGAGCCCCTGTCACTAAATAAAACATTTTAAAAAGGGGGAGCCAGGCACGGAGGAGATCGCCCCTCATCCCAGCGGCTCCAGAGGCTGAGGCTGGAGGATCCAAGGTTCAAGGCCAGCCTCAGCGAAAGTGAGGCCCTAAGCAACTCAAGGAGACTCCATTAAAAATGATTTCATTTATTTGTAAATAAAATACAAAATAGGGCTGGGGATGTGGCTCAGTGGTGGAGTGCCCCTGGGTTCCATCCCCGGTACAAATAAAAAAGAAGCTACCGATTAAGAGGACTGGATGGGAGGGGCGGAGGCCAGGGATTTGGATGCTCTTCCTCTTATAGTTTTTCCCTTGGAAAAAAAAATGTTTTTTCATTGATGTGAAATATACACCCAGAAAAGCACAGGACGAGGCAGCATGGCCAGCTTCCTGGGTCTTTAAAGATTTCCTCTTTTCTGGCTGGGGTCGGTGCCGGGGCCTGGCACACTCTGCCCCCAGTCACCCCCCCCACCGGGGCATTCTTTCCAAACAAGTGAACTTGAAGATTTTTTTTCAACTTTGTAGTTTCCCAAACCTGGTGCGGCGCTCGCGTTGCTATTATCATCCAAAAAATGCCAGTTTCTGTTGAGGGCGGTTCCACCCGGGAGCACTTTGAAACTCCTTATCTTGTTTGGCTCTGGCCCCGGGAGAAGGGCCCAGAAAGGATCAACTTCCTTGTGGGCAAGAGAAGGAAACACCCCCCTCTTGGGCTGGCAGGGAGCTGAGGTGGTATCCCGTGTGAGCCCTGGGCAGAGAGCCACCCACCGCTCCTGGCACCGGACGCCCCTTCACAGGGCTGGGCTCCCAGCACCCGYAGAGTGGCTCCCGCCAACTCCCAAGGAACACGTCGGGCCACCGAATCCAGAGCTCCAGAAACGCTCTCCYTCCGGGAGTCTGCCCTACACCATCTGTCGGGGTGCAGCCCAACTCCATGTGCGCGTTGACGTCATGCAGCAAATTTTTTAAATTAAATTTAACTTATTTTTATTTTATTTTTTTTTTTTAGTATTGGGATTGAACCCAGGGGCACTGGACCACGGAGCCACATCCCCAACCCTATTTTGTATTTTATTTAGAAACAGGGTCTCTCTGAGCTGCTTAGGGCCTCACTAAGTTGCTGAGGCTGGCTTTGAACTCTCCACCCTCCTGCCTCAGCCTCCCGAGCCGCTGGGATGACAGGTGTGCGCCACCACACCCGCTGTGCAGTATTTTAAAGAGTGAAAATTTAGAATGAATGTAGATGCCCCGCAGAAGGGAATTGGTTCAGTAAATGGAGCCATTGAAAGTCAGAATATCTCCCAGTCATTGAAATAGAGTTCTGGAATATTTCCATTGGTGGGTTTTTCGTTTCCTGAGTGAAATGGATGGACAGTCGCGCAGGATAGAAACAAAGGGCAGAGCGTTCCAACCTGCCGCGCCTCCCAAGCCTCCTGCTTTCTTCTTGGCTTTTCTTTCTTACTTTTTTGGCACCAGGGATGGCACCAGGGGCGTGTGATCGMTGACCTACAGACACCCCTGCTCTTTTTGTATTCTATTCTGAGACAGGGCCTCGCTGAGTTGCTTAGGGCCTAAGTTGCTGAGGCTGGCCTCAAACTTGCAGTCCTCCTGCCTCAACCTCCTGAGCCGTGGGATGAGGGGGAGGCCCCACCCCGCCTGGCCTCCTCTTCCACTTTTAAGGGTGGTCGACACTTTGGGACGCTTTCTTTGGATTTACCACATATTGCTTTCAAAACTTCCCACACACAAACAGGAAAATAATCAGGGGACAAGAGAATAAAAAAGATGCTCCAAGCGAATCATGACATCAGAGAAAATCAGCAGCTTGGGCGGCTTTTCTAGGCAAGTTGCTCTCTCTGTGGCCCAGGAAGCCGGCTCAGTGGGGCGGCTGGTGGCCTGCCAAGCCCGGGGTGTTTGTGGTTTGTGCGGGGGCAGAGCTGGGGCCGCTTCCCATGAGGGCTCTGGGAGCACCCAAGAGGGGCAGCTGGGCTGGAGGGAGGTGGGCGGGGTGGGGAGCCTCGGAGGCTCTGCTCTGGTGCCTGGAGGGACAGGCAGGGGGCTACTTGGGTACACAGGGCCAAAGTCCTCATTTATGGCCTTGGGGCAGTTAATGTGTGATATTCTGGGATATAAAGGCTGACCACGGGGTGGGAACCTGAGCTCAGCGACTGGGAACTGCCGGGAGCTGTCACCAAGAGAGGACACCATGTCGGTGAGGATGCCAGCCCCGGCGGCCCACTCCCTCCACGTCTCTGCCTGGGTGGGCTGGGGGGGTGCTCTGCGGATTCCCCTCCACCTGGCAGAGAAGTTGGCCAGACGGTCTCCCCAGCCCCAGCCCAGGCACCCTGATCCCGCGGCCACCGCCCTACCCTGGGAGCCTGGGCCTGTGTGTCCCCTCTCCTGCCTCAGGTACCTCATCAGTAACAATGATGATGATGATGATGATGACCGCTACCGTCCACTGAGCTTTAGAAAGAGGAAAAGCTGAGGCTCGGGGCTGAGGCTGTGACTCAGCGTGGGGTGGGGGGTGCTCAGCCTGGGCTGGGGCTGGACCCCATCATCAGCACCCAAACAAACAAGAAAACAGGAAACCCAGGCTCTGGGGATCTAATTGGCCAAGGTCACCATCTGCGAACTGCGGGGGATTGGGTGGGTCTTCTGGCAGGCCCCTGAATGGCCTTGGACCAGTTTCTGACCCTCTCTGAGCCTCAGCCTCCCTGATCTGTGGAAGGGAATCCCATGGCACCCTCTGGGGATGGCACCCTCTGGGGATTAGATGGGGCCACTGGGACCAAGTGCCACAAAATGGAGGGGGGGGGTGCTTCAGAATATTCATTCTCTCAAGTTCTAAAGATGTCTGATGTCAGGTGTGGGCCGGGCACRCTCTCCTGGGGCTCTGGGCCAGCGTCCCACTGTCTCTTTCAATTTCCGGTGGTGGCTGGCGATCCTTGGCCTGCAGCTGCGTACTGAGTGATGTCCTACCCGACACAGTGGCCTCTGTGTCCAAACATCCCTCCTCTGACAAGGACATCCRTGGCACTGGGTTTAGAGGCCACCCTACTCCAGTATGACCTCATCTTTGTTTTTTTTTTTTTTTTTACTGGGGACCACCCCCCCTGCCCTTTTAAAAAATATTTAGAGACAGGGTCTTGCTGAATTGCTTAGGGCCTCACTAAGTTGCTGAGGCCGGCTTTGAACCTGCGGTCCTTTTGCCTCAGTCTCCTGAGCTKTTGGAACCACAGGGTGTGCCGCCATGCCTGTTTGTTATTGATTGGTTGATGGATACTACAGTATGCTTTTATTTTAGTGTTTATTTTTATGAGGTGCTGAGGATCGAACACATGTGCGAGGCAAGTGCTCTGTCACTGAGCTACAGCCCCAGCCCCCAGCCCCAAACTTTTTTATTTAGAGATAGGTTTTCGCTAAGTTTCTTAGGGCCTTGCTAAGTTTCTGAGGCTGGCCTCAAGTTTACGATCCTCCTGCCTCAGCCTCTGGAGTTGCTGAGATAATAGGCTTTCCCCACTGCGCCTGGTTCAACCCCATCTTGGTTACAGCCACAAAGACCCTACTCCAAATAGGTCACCTTTGAAGGTTCCAGGTGGATATGAGTTTTGGCAGGACACTGTCCAAGCCAGTGCCAGTGCCATGCAGGACATGAACCTGACCGGGGTCCCTGGCTGAAGACCAGTGCTGTGCTGTCCTTGCCTGTGTCTCTGGGAGAGGCTTTTGCCTTCRTGGTCTGGAGACTCCTGATCTTCTCTTCCCTCTGTCACCCCATCCCTCCTCCTCCTCCTCCAGACACCACTTAGTGCCAACCCCTTTTATTACAGATGGGGAATTTGAGGCCAAAGGAGGATGAGGCTGGCCCCAGGTCACTTGAACTGCCCAACCCTCTACCCTGGTTCTGCCTCCCGGTCTCTCCCTGGGCCTTGGATTTCGTTGAGTGGGGACAAGGGTCCTGGAAGTGCACACGCACCAGGCCCCAGCACCCCTCTTTGTCCAAATGCACCCCTGACCTTGTGCCGCTGACCTGCAGCAGCCCCACCCCCACCCTCAGGGGCTTGGGTTCCCAGTTTGGTCAGGAAGCCCCCAGGGGGTGGGGGGTGTTCCTCCCACCTCAGTCCCAGCTCTCCCCACCCACCCCGACGGTCCCAGGGTGCCGGGGAGGGGGCTGGCTCCTGGCAGCTGGTGTCAGGTGTGTGTGCACAGCCAACGTCCGAGTGTCTCTGTGGCCGCGCACTTGGGTCCTCTCTCATCTGGGAGGGACGGCGCTCTCCTCACTGGGTACCCTTCTCTCCCAGGGACGACCACCTCTGTCTGTCAGTGAGAGGCCGAGACAGAACCTGCCTCCAGTCCCTGGCCCCAAAGCCTGGGTGTGGCTGCTGCATTCAGCAGGGTTCTGCTTGGTGGCCCAGCCTGTAATCCCAGCACCTCGGGAGGCTGAGGCAGGAGGATCACCAGTTCCCGGCCAGCCTCAGCCACTTAGCATGGCCAGTTAGGGAGATCTTGTCTCAAGATAAAACATAAAAAAGGGCTGGGGTTAGGTCCCTGGTACAATTTAAAACAAACAAACAAACAAAAAAACAGCTGTTATTAAGCCTGACTCTGAGGGCTTAAGCCTCCGCCTCCAAACCCCACTGTTCCTAAAGCAGGGAAATGTGGCCCCCAGGGGACACTGGGCATTGTCTGGAGCCATTTCTGATYGTCACAGCTGGGGGAAGGGAGCTCCTGGCATCTGTGGTCAGGGAGGCTGCCCAGCGCCATACAGTCACAACCCAAGAGTCTCACCCAGCGGGTCCAGCGGTCCCAGCGCCCACCAGGATGGCTCCGCGCTCCTGGGCTCCGCCTTCCTCTGGGGGTAGGCTGGGGGCGCCTCCCCTGCTCCTCCTCCGSGGGGCCAGCTCCCACCAAGCTCTGCCCTGGGTGCTCCGTCTTTGGTGCCTGTCCAGCCCCGCCCTGCGGCTCCCATCAGGGACATGCAGATGGACATTTTCTGAGTCTTGGGTATTGAGCTTTGGAAGCCTGGGTTTGAGGACCTCCCATTAACCATCAGGAGAGGGACGACGCCATCAGAGAGTAGATGTCCCAGGTCCCGGGGGAAAAAGGGGAAGGAGATGCCAAATAAGGAGTGAGTGACCATGACAGTGGCCCCTGAATCTGCCTGCACGTGGSCCAGGCTCTATGCTTGGGGCTTCGCAAACAGGAACCCGAACCTGGGCTATCAGCTTGAAGGTGGCCGCCGGTACCCGCCGGGCCTGGCAGCATCTGTCACAGGGCACTTAGCAACTTCCTTCTTTTCTTTTGCTGGGATCAAACCCAGGGCCTGGGGCTTGCTAGGTGAGCTGCGCCCGCGAGGGCTCTTTAATAAAAATACCCCYGCAGCCTGCTCCACAGATGGGGGAAGAGGGTCTGGAGCGGCCTTTGATGGCCCCGCTAGGACAGAGGACTTGGAAGGTTCTGTAGGTTCCCAGTGGGGGTGGGGCAAGGCCGGCTGGCTGCCGACACAGTCCTGCTCTGCATCGTCTGTGTCCCCGGGTTCCCATGGGCAAACCGAGGCTTCCCTGCTGGGCCACAGCGGCTCCCTAGTCGGGCTGGGTGGAGGGCCCAGGAGAGAGGGCCGCGGGGCCGCTGGGCAGCCTGGATCCCACCGTCTCCCCTTGCAGCCCCGGGCTCTCCCGTGGGCAGGGGGATAACGGGTCCGACTGGATGGGAAGTTGGCGGCGTCACCAGCAGAGGGGGCTGTGGAGGGCCTCCGAGTTCTTCATGGAGGGCTTCTCTCCGGGCCCAGGGAGAACTGGAGATGACAAATCTGCACTTGAAACCGGGGACAACCTTGAAGATCAAGGGCAGGATCGCGGACGAAGCTGACGGGTGAGCGAGGTGGGGGGAGCGTGGTCAGCGCAGGGCGACTTCAAGCCTGGGGGTCTTTTTGACACCCTGGCTCCCTCCCACACTCCTGGRTCAGGACCTGYCTTCACACCCGAGCACCCACGTGCTGTTCCCCGGCCCCAGCAGCCACTGAAGGGGCAGGGGGAGAAGCCCTGGGGCGCCCCCAGCCCCCTGGCGTCCGTGCCTGTGTGGAGGGCCAACCCCCGGGTCGCGGCTCTGTTAACCCAGCGGAAGGACCCCAGCCGGCCTTTCCCGAGCCCCTGGAGACGGCCACCAGGGGGCGCCACCGGCCCACCTCCCTCACCACCTGCTCCAGGCTCTCAAGTCTGCAGGACGATACTGGCATTTCTTTCTTTTCTGATACCAGGCGCTGAACCCCAGCCCTTTTCACTTTGAGATAGTTTCATCAAGTTGCTTAGGGCCTCGCAAAGTGGCTGAGGCTGGCCTCCAACTTGGGATTGTCCTACCTTAGCCTCCTGAGTTGCTGGGATTACAAGCGTGTGCCTGGCTAACTTAGGCATTTCTTGGACTGAACTTTGCCCCCTTGGGTTGGGAAGGTGGTGGGCAGATGTGTGAAGTAGGAGCCTAGAGACAAAGGAGTCCTTTCTCCTGCCTCATCACTCAAGTTTGCAGAAATGCAGGCCTGAGACCTGCCTCCTCGGGTGAAGAAGCCCACCACCCAGGATGCCCACTCTCGGGCTCCCCAAAGGTCTAACCCGGGCTCCCGTAGTGACCCTGCCAAGATCAACCCCTGGTGGCATACCTTGAGTGACAGGAAGCTCATCCCTGCAGGCCGACTGGTCTTTATGGTCAACCTTAATGTCTTCAGAGGTCTAAGGCAGCAGCTCTCTCCCCATGACACCCCCGATTGCTCAACCGTCACCATCAGCTACTGCCCCAGCAGCCTTGGTCTCTGCTCCGAATGGCACATGTCACATAGCACCCCCAGATCTCAATGCGAAGCTGGCAGCAGCTGGTGGTAGCCCAGGCCCTCTGACCCAAGCTGCCTTACCTAGGGCTGCCCCTAGATGCCACCTGTCACCCTCCCCTGCAGCTTTGTGATTAACCTGGGCCAGGGGACAGATAAGCTGGGCCTGCATTTTAACCCACGCTTCAAGGAATCCACCATCGTCTGCAACTCCCGGGACGGCAACTGGGGGAAAGAGCATCGCGACAGTCACTTGTGCTTCAGCCCCGGGTCAGAGACCAAGGTGAGGCCAAGGGACCGCAGGGGGAGGGGAGCCCTGGCCCTTTCCAGGGAGCCTCCTGCTCCCTGACACCTCCCCTGTCCTGCAGGTGACCCTGGCCTTTCACAGTGATGAGTTCAAGGTGGAGCTCCCAGATGGGTACGAGTTGACCTTTCCCAACCGGCTGGGCTACAGCCACCTGAGCTACCTGAGCATCAAGGGGGGACTCCAGGTCTCCTCTCTCAAGCTCAACTGAGTGGCAGCAGTTACCGGAAGAATGTAGCCCTCCACCCTGGTCCGTCACAGCCTTGGGGCCTGGATCCACCCCCCACCCTTGACCCAGGTGCTTCCCGTTCCTGCTCCTGGGATATCGCTTTTTCCTCCCTCGAAGCCAAGAGCAAACCAATAAACAACAAAAATCCACCTCCTGGAGCCTGTGGGGGGCGCTCCTGGGTTTTAATACTCCTGCGTCTCCGTCTCGGGTGGGGATCGAGGACCTGGCACTGCGGGTGGGGGTGGCAGGGGACCTGGGACTGCTCCCAGACTCGGGCACTGGATGCCGCCTCCCTCCCTGCTTATCGCCAGAGCAAATGCCACGCTGCCCAGTGGCACTGTGGGGCAGACCTGGTTCCAGGCACCTGGGGCAGGGGCTGTTCCAGAAACTGCAGATAAGCTCCCACCTGGGCCCTTATCTCCGGGCATTCCTGCCGTGACTCACCACCCCACGGCCCTCCCCGGGGTGACCTTGGCTTTCCAAATTCCCAGGAGGGGAGGGCGTCTCTGCAGGGRACCTAATGCTGGTCCCCAAGCTTCTTGCAGGACACCTTTGATCAAAAAGCCTTTTTAATCAGGCCCCAAAGGCAGGTCTGGGGTCCACAGGACGGCAGGGGGCTTCCCATGAGGTTGCAAAGGACCTTTCTCTGGGACAAGTGGGAGGGCTGGGGGGGTGGCCTGTGATGGGGCTTTTGGGGAATACAGCAGGGACCCTCTGGGACAGATGTGCCACTGGGAGAGGAGACATGGCCCTGTGTGGGATCCCCCCCCAGTCCCCATGGCATTCATCTGGCATAAGGCCACACATCTTGAGGGGGGCCCCAGCTGGTGGGCGTGGCTGGGGTGGGGCCTAAGGGAGGCCTATCAGCTCAGCATGGCCGCTGGGGACCCAGGTCCCACGACAAAGTGGGTCTCCTGTCCTCTCTCCCATGTCTGCCCTGCAGAGACCTGCAGGGGTTTGGGGGGCACGTGGGTTCCCTCATCTTGTCTGGCAGGAGCCAACTCTGGTAGGCCAGGGGCTGCTCTGCCCCCGGCTCTCCATGAGGTCCCCAAGCCCTCACCCTGCACTCACACCTTGACCTCRTCATCCTCCTCAGCATCTGCAAACGCAAAGGTGTGGGCCTGCACTGTGCTGGGCACGGGGGCCCTGATGCCCGCCGGGGGGGCCCTCCACTCCTCCTCCAGGCTCTCCCAGGAGCCCCTGGCCTGGGGCAGCACCTCCACCAGCTCCCGCCGGGCATCCATTTCGGTGTAGTGGCGGCTGCCCCCCCAGCCTGCTCCCCAACGCCTGCCCAGGGCCATGTCGGCAGGTCCCCGGGGACCCTCTCCCAGTGGGTTGGCCCTCACCTCAGCCACTGGGCCCAGCTTAGCAGTCACCCCATTGGGGAAATGTCCATGAGACAGAGGACTTACAGTGGGGTTAGGTGCTGGGGGGTTTGTGGCAGGTCCTGGGGGGTTTGTGGCAGGTCCTGGGGGGTTTGTGGCAGGTCCTGGGGGGTTTGTGGCAGGTCCTGGGGGCTTTGTGGCAGCGCCTGGGGTCTCAGCTGCAGGGGAATCAGAGAGGCTCATGACCCCTAGAAGCTCACTGAGGAGAGAGGGCCCAAGGTCAAGGTCAAGGCGGAAGGACAAGAGGGAGTCAGAGCGGCGAAGCTCAGGCCGAAGCTCAGGCTCAGGGGGGAAGGAGCTGTCTCGGTCTCGGTCTGGGTTGCTGGGCTTTTCCAGGCGGGGCAGACGGGAGATGGTGCAGAATCCCGAGTCCAGGCCTAGAGGAGAAATGGAAGCAGGTCAGAGCTGGGAGCAGGACGCGGGGAGGGAGGGCCAGGAGGACGAGCCTGGCTGGCTGTGTGGCCTCTAGTAAGCCACTCCCCACTCTGTCCTGTTTCACCCCTCTTCCCGATATGGGGGAGCCCTTGCCATCCTGCTCCCTGTTCCCAGTATGCCGAAGAAAACAGGCTGTCTGGGGAAAGAAAGGTTTTGCCCAAGGCCACAGCAGAAGGGTGGCGCTCCCATCTCCCGACTCTTGGGGCCAATGTGAACTTAGCCGCGGTCCCCAGGTACCCTGCCACGACACTGGCAAACGGCAGCAGGTGAACCCACACAGGAGGCTGGTTTGTGGACACAGGATGGAACCAGCAGCCAGCGGGTGACTGCATGGACCTCACAGGCTTTAAGGACCGGCACATGCCCTTCAAAGGTCATCTGGTGGAGCCCCCGCCTCCAGCACTGGAGCACGAGGGTTCGTGTGGACCAGTCCTTGGTGGGGTTCCGAGCAGCACCCCCACCAACAGGCAAAGCCACGGCAAGGCCTGGCCACCAGGTGGCAGCAGGGGCCCACACTTCCCAGGTGAGCGGTTCCTTGCAGCGTGGCACTTCCGTGAGAGCAGTTTTGCAAATTCATCAAGTTACAGGAATTTTGGGTTAAGTAACATTAATGGCTCAGGTGTCCTGAGCATCTACTATGTGCCAGCTCTCATTTCACCTGGCACATGGATGATTTCACTGAATCCCAGCCACGCTGCCAAGGGACTCATTAGATGGGCAAGGACATGAACTTAGGTCAGTGGACTTCCTAGGCATCAGGCAGAAACAGGTTCTCAGCCTCTCCATGACACCATTTTGACAGTAGGGGGCTGCTTTAGTTGAAAGGGGAAAGAAAGGGTAGATAGGCCCAACCAGGGCCCAGAGAGGGAGAAGGGCTTGTCAGAGTCACACAGCAAGCAAGGGGCAGTAGGAACTGAAAGTGCTTCTCCCTCTGGACCAGTGTGTGTGTGTGTGTGKGKGGGGGGAGTGGAAAGTCAGTTCCCACCACCTTAGTCCTCCCCACCCTGGGAAAAGGGCTCACTTGGAAGTCTTGGTTAGAGCCAACAACCTTCTGGGCCTCTGCATTAGAAAAGGGCAGATAGAGCCAAGAATGGTGGTGCACCCTGTAATCCCAGTGACTTGGGAGGCTGAGGAAGGAGGATCTCAAGTTCAAGACCAGCCTCAGCAACATAGAGAGGCACTAAGCAACTTAGTGAGACCCTGTCTCAAAATTTAAAAAATTAAAATGGCTGGAGATGCAGCTCAGTGGTTAAGCTCCCCTGGGTTCAATCCCTGGTGCCAAAGAGAGAGAGAGAGAGAGAGAGAGAGAGAGAGGAGGGGCAGTTACCCAGGATCTCACCGTAACTGGAGCGGCCATCTGCGGAGCCCGTGGGGCTGCCATCGAAGCTGAGCTTGCCCACCACCAGGCTGTCGTAGGTGGCCTGGTTGAGCTGGGGCAGGGAGATGGCGTTCTTGATGATGGGGGAGATGGCTGGGGGAGCCGGCGAGGGTGCTGGAGGGGATGCCATCCTTCGGGGTGGCACCCCAACCCTCCGCACCTGCTGGAGCTTTCTGGCTAGGAAGCTGCGGGGCGAGCGGTGGGTGCCCCCAGAGCTGCCACCATGGTTGCTGAGGAAGGAGGTGTCACCGAAGACGTCCCCGCCGCGGCCCACGTGCATGGTGTGGCGGAAGTCCCCGAGCGGGGGGCTGATCATGTCTGCCGTGAGCCGCCTCTTTCCCTGGGAGCTGGACACCCAGCCCACGGGCGAGAGCTTGCCCAGGCTCATGGTGGGGGCTCCTCCGCCCCCCTGGGGGCCAGGCATGGGCTCTGGCAGCTCAGGGCTGCTGGTCCATGCCCACGGGGGCTGGGGAGGCCGGTGGGCTGGGCTCAGGGCCCCCTTCTCAGCCCCCCTCTCGATGGCAGGGGGTGGCCCTTGGCCCTGGGAGTCCACGCTCTTCCAAGCCCTGGGGGAGCAGCTGCAGACGGTCCTGCTGGGTCCAGGAGCAAAGAGGCACAGACCTGGCCTCAAAGGTGGGCGGTCCCTCTCCTGCTCAGGGGTGGAGACCTGGAAGGAGGACAGAGGACAGTAACACGATGTGACAATGTGACAGCAGGCCTGGTGCAGAGGAGGAAATCCTGGGTCCAAACAAGGGCCCAGAAAACAAACGACAACTCCCCGCCACACAGATGGAGGTCACCGACCCAGGGCTGAGCGGAAGCTGGGCACAAAGGAGGGACACGCCGTGGGGGTCCACGCAGAGGAGTCCGAAATGCTGTCCTGACGCGGGTGCTGGCTCTCGGGGCCCAATCCCACCAAGCTACAGGCTGCCCGGTGCGCTGGCACAGTGGCTGCTGCCCAGGGCCGGAGGTGCCAGTGCCTGCCCTGCCGCAGTCACTTAACCCACACCACAGTGCCCAGCGAGGCATGGCATTCAAAGGGGGAAACTGAGGCAGGGGCCATGAGCCATCTACACTGCAGGGAAGGGTGGCGCGGGAGCCATGTCCCAGACCTGGAGCAAGACACCTCCTGGGGCTAAAATCTCTTCCACCCCCAGAAGCAGGGGGAGGAGGCCCTGGCCCCTCACCATCCCTCGATCCCTCGGGACTTGTGCCTTCTCCGTGCTTCCTGTCAAAGGGGTTTGTGGTCACAGTGGCTTTTCCCAGCGCCTCCTGAAGGCTGAGCAGGACCCAGCCAAGGGCTTGATGGGACAGTCCGCCAAACGGAGGTAGGAGCCTCGGAGTCAGGGAACAAATTTTGGCTGCCACTCAGCAGGTGCCCAAAGCTATTCCTTCCCCCTTCCAGGTCCCCACGCCACCCTCCCCAGCGCCCCTTCTCTAAGCATCCCTTGAAGAGGCCCCTCACAGAAAGTCCCGCTGGAAGACGCCAGGATCCTGGTCTGACATCTGTCTCTCCCRTGGCCCAGCGGAGGCCAAGCCCGCTCCAGGTCGCATCCAGACRGCCAGTCGGGACTTGAACCCAGGGCTCCGACTCACCCAAGCCCTGGGCTGGCCCGAGGGGGCCCGCCAGTCTGGTTTCCACTTCCGGGGAGGGCGGGCACCTGCCTGGATTTTCCTGCCTCCCTCTCCTCCTCCCTCCCAGCCTGGGCTCCGCACGTGGCAAGGGCCAAATCAAGACCAGTTTGATCCCAGATCCCAGCGATAACCTCCAAGCTCAAGGGCCA